TATTTTTAATGAACAACGCAGCAGCGCCGCATCTAGTGGATAACTGGATAGGCTAACAAAAACATTATAATGCAACGACACTTACATCGTCAACAAATCTCGTGCGCCGCTGATAAGGCTGCCTCCTTAACGCACACCTAAAATTCGAATGCAACGTTTTTGCATTCGAATGTGGATTTTTATTTTAAATTCGACGATTATTCGAATATATTTGGTTTGTAATCTAGTGAGTATTTCAGGCTAGTTGTGTAATAATAATAATAATAATAATAATATTAAGTGCGTACATGGTTTGTAATGCAGTGTCTAGTTTAGTCTAATTGTGTGTGTAGTTCATTTTTTTGTAGTTAATGCTACCTAGTGCATGCTAATTTTGTTGCGCACTCGGCCTAGTATATGCTACATTTAGTGCATACGTGTTGTTATGCATAGTGTTTTTCAGTATAGCTGCATAGTACATTTTCTGTTGTGAATGCTATCTAGTGCATACTAGTTTTGTTGAGCACTCTGCCTAGTATATGCTACATTTAGTGCATACTTGGTTTGTAATTCAATCTAGTTCAGTCTAGTTGTGTAGTACATTTTTGTAGTGAATTCTACCTACTGCATATTGGTTTGCTTGGCCTAGTATATGCTACATTTAGTTCATGTAATAATTTAGTTTTTTTTTTACTGCATAGTGTCTTTCAGGCTAGTTCTGTAGTGCATTTTCTGTAGCGAGTGCTACCTAGTGCTTATTAGTTTTGTGCACTCTACCTAATATATACTACATTTAGTGCATGCTTGGTTTGTAATGTAGTGTCTAGTTTAGTCTAGTTGTGTAGTACATTTTTTGTTATGTTGTGCACTCGGCCTCGTATACACTACATTTAGTGCATACTTGTTTTGTAATGCCCTAGTGTCTTTCCGTGTAATTGTGTAGTACATCTTCTCTAATGAGCTTAGTATATACTAGTTTTGTGTACTCTACCTACTATATGCTACATTTAGTGCATACTTGTTTTGTAATGCATAGTGTCTTTCAGGCTAGTTGTGTAGTACTTTGTTTGTAGTGAATGCTACCTATTGCACACTAGTTTTGTTGTGCAATCTATCTAGTCTATGGTACATTTAGTGCATACTTGGTTTGTTATGCATAGTGTCTAGTTCATTCTAGTTGTGTAGTACATTTTTGAAGTGAATTATACCTAGTCCATACTAGTTTTTAGTGCATACTGTTTGGTTGATGAAGTGAAAACTAGTTTTCTAGAGCATGTCTTTTATTATAGTGCACACACTTTGACTAGCATGCAATTTAATTAGTATACGCTGACTATACACTATACGCTACATACAGTTTAAGAACTTTCCCGATGCTGGTGGTATTATGACTTTGAAAACACAGTGCTGCATTCTACCAGAAGCACATTGCAAGCCACAGAGATACATTTTTAAAAGAGTGTGAGTGTGCAGCACTTTATCACTGTCAGTTTTTCCTCACCTTTTCAGTGACGAAAGGCCCACCTCGTTTCACAGTACTGCAATGGTCCATTTTTGTCTTGGTCAAGGAGAACTGCTGTACTCGCAACTTTACAAACCTCACCATACGTGCTCGACCACACGCCAGGGTGAAATGAGTATGGCTGCAATCTGCAGAAGTTAATTTCTGCATAAGTCTGCATTCTTTTCACACTCTCACATACACATAATAACTAGCCCAATATCAACTTATCGATTACTCATAACTTCTCTTATTGCCTCTGAGAAACAAAAGTAGAAGCACTAAAAGCTTATTTCCCTTCCCTCTCTGTATTCCTTTGCCGTTTTGAACTCCGAAGCAGAATGTCATTTTTGTAAGTTTCTGACTCAGTGTAATGGATTTTCAGGCCTGCTTGAATGGATGGAGGAAACAGGAGGCATTTGAAGAATTTTAAAGACAAAGACGAGTTTTGAAAGTTCTGACAAAGAGCAAGTCCTACAGAACTGGGTTACTAATGCCAGAATCTAGGCTTCTTTTATATCAAAGAATGTCTGTGACATCAAAGTCGAAGTACAAATGAAAGCTAATCATTCCAAAAATAAATTGTTACTGGGCTTTAGCTTGTGTGGGAGTGTTCTTTGTGTTCAGTCCTCTGTCCTCTCATTATCTCAGACAACAACTAGTCGGCACAGACAACTTGAGAAGATCACACACCCATCATTTGTAACCAGACACAAAGAGAGCCAAACATTACATGACACGCATAGGTATGCACACAGCATGGTTACACTAGCTGCTAAATACAGTATGTTTCATTTACACTGTAAGTCTCTTATGCTCACCAAGGCTGCACTTATTTAATTTAAAATACAGTAACAACAGTATAATAATATATATACAGGGTTGGGGAGTAACGGAATACATGTAACGGCGTTACGTAATCAGGATACAAAAATCTAGTAACTGTAATCTGTTACAGTTACATCAAAAAACAAAGTATTCAGATGCTTATCAGAATTACCAGCCCGAGCCCGTCTTTTTTTCCCCTTCTCCCAAAACAGCTTATACTACTTTTCAGCTATTAAAATAGTTCAGTTTTGTATATAATGGCAAAGTGATTATATATATATTTTTTTTTTTTTTGTTAAAAGTTAACTTAGAAAAATGATTGGAGCATTTTTTGTTCGTTACAAGTTTTTGTTTTTTATGTAATGACCAAGCGGCCACTAATCGTTTGTGCAGAGAGCTAAAGCGCACTTTACAGGAGGCGCCGGCGCGATCACTTGCATTGGAAACAACTTAAAATATGCTGTAATTATTGCTCATAAAGGTAAGAGTAATACATCAATCGTAACTGTAAAGGGGCTACTTTTATTTGTGTGCACTCACAATATCAACAAAACGTTGTGATTTATAAAATAAAGAAAACAAGCATGGTGCGCTTTCTGCTGTCTCGTCTTGAACAGCATTTATGGTAATTACTTTTGCCGGTGCTTTGCGGCAAACTTAAGCCTATTGCGTGCATTTGAACGCAGATCTTTTCAGCTGCGCTGACTGCGGGACACTAGCACGGTCTCGTGTAGTTTCCACCAGCGTGGCAATTTTTTTTATCACTAATTGATGGATGTCTAAAATATAAAAATAAGGAGAAGCCTAAAACAGGCCCGTGTCTGAACTATGACGTGAAAATTGTCCCGAAGCCCGGCCCTAGGGGCGTAAAAAAGTCGGGCTGGAAATGCAGGGCTCTAGTCCCTGGTTCTGTTGACACCGTTGACTCACTTGAGCCGCCTGCTGGTGCGTGGACAAATAACACCCGTCTACAATTATTCTCAAACGCGGGATGAATTAATTACGATGCTTCCTGCTGGGAAAAAAGTTTTCATGTCTGGAAATTTCACAGTTATTTTGTTTTCAAAGAGGATAATGGAAATAACATAGTTGTACAGCGTAAGCTATGCATGCCATGAAGACTCTTGCTTTAACAAAGGCTACTCAACCAACTTGAACATTTGCAGGTATGAGACCGACTAGCATGTAAATCATCATGTTAGCTAAAATTTAGTGTTTGTTAGTGCTTTAAAATTCCATGGTGTGCATGACTGCAGTTGTA